CGTCCCCTGGATGGTGTGCGGACCCCTCGGGCCTCGGCCAGGCCAGGGCCCGAGATGGCCCTGGCCAGGCATGGGGAAGACGGTGTACGGGTGACTCCTGCGTGACGTGTGCTCTGCAGCCGGCGTTCTGAGGCTGCGCCCCCCTTTTCCTCCCCCATCTCTGCCTAATTCAAGCTTCGCGCGGCCCGCTTAGCTTCGACCGGAAGAGGTGCGCTCTCGACCCGCGGATCAACAAAAGTGGTGTCGTCTTCGCGCATGTCGCGCTCGCTACTCAGGTGCATTTCATGGGCGGGCGGTGCGTGCCAGACATGGGCGGTGAGTGCTTTCTTTGCGAAGCGGGCAGACATGGGCGATACGTATTTTTTTTGCGATGCGGGCTCTCTTGAGACAGGCAGGGTGCGGCCAAGGCGTGCAACACATGTCCAGCTATTGCAAGCGCACCAACAGTTGCGATTGCATCCGTGGTCCATTATGATGCGTGCGCGCTTCATGCGCACGCGCGGGCAGAAGTGCAGTTCGAGGCAGGCTCGGCACTACGACCACGATTCAGAAAAGCAGTTTCCTCAAGTCTGGTGCTAGTCTTAAGTCGGGCATGTCCCTCTACAGGAGGAATATTCAAAAATAGCAACATCACCCTGCGACGTACCCAACCTTTCTATACATGTGGCGAGTATACTCAGGACCACTCAATGCTGACTGGCATTCTGAAGGACTCGCAGTGCGCAAGAAGAGCACCCAGCAGTGATTTAGCGCAGCAAGAAAAGCAGCGGCAAACATACAAAACGGACCCACAAGAGGTGTTGAAAGAAGCGCGCCCAAAAAGTGAACCCAAGAGGGCGCGGCGGCGAGGGCTAAAACAGAACATCAATTTAACTCAGCAGCGCGCTGCGCTGAGCGGGGCAAATGCATGAGGTGCATAACGGGGGTGGAGAATCATCAGAAAGTGGAGACAGGAGGGCGTGGCAGCGAACCCAAAGAGAAACCCAAAGGTTGCGGTCGCGAGAATAAGCAGCCCAGGAGCCCACGAAAGTGCCGACAGTTTCGCAGATCGCAGCACCCCCAGGGCACCGCGAGCTATAGTGGTGATCTGCGTATGACGTACCTCCGCTGGGCCTCCCAGGAGCCCACGAAAGTGGCGACAGTTTCGCAGATCGCAGCACCCCCAGGGCACCGCGAGCTATAGTGGTGATCTGCGTATGACGTACCTCCGCTGGACCTCCCGGGAGCCCACGAAAGTGGCGACAGTTTCGCAGATCGCAGCACCCCCAGGGCACCGCGAGCTATAGTGGTATATGGCGGTTGAGTAACCCTTCCCACTCCCCATTTCGCTGGGCCTCCCAGGAGCACACGAAAGTGCCGACAGTTTCGCAGATCGCAGCCCACCGGGGCACCGCGAGCTATAGTGGTGCTCCGCGTATTACGTACCTCCGCTGGGCCTCCTAGGAGCCCACGAAAGTGCCGACAGTTTCGCAGATCGCAGCCCTTCAGGGCACCGCAGACTATAGTGGTGCTCCGCGTATGACGTACCTCCACTTGGCCTCCAGATCGCAGCCCCCCAGGGCACCGCGAGCTATAGTGGTTCTCCGCGTATGACGCATCTTCGCTGGGCCTCCCAGGAGCCCACGAAAGTGCCGACAGGTTCGCAGATCGCAGCCCCCAGGGCACCGCGAGCTATAGTGGTGGTCCGCGTATGACGTACCTCCGCTGGGCCTCCCAGGAGCCCACGAAAGTGCCGACAGTTTCGCAGATCGCAGCCCCCCAGGGCACCGCGAGCTATAGTGGTGATCTGCGTCTGACGTACCTCCGCTGGGCCTCCCAGGAGCCACGAAAGTGCTGACAGTTTCGCAAGTCGCAGCCCGCTCAGGGCACCGCGAGCTATAGTGGTGATCTGCGTATGACGTACCTCCGCAGGGCCTCCCAGGAGCCCACGAAAGTGCCGACGTTTTCGCCGATCGCAGCCCCCCAGGGCACTGCGAGCTACAGTCAAAAACCCTAATAAGGACGCGCGACTTTGCTCAGCGTACCCTTTGCTCAGCCTTGCTCTTGCGTCCTTGGGGTTTTCGACGTCCGCCGCCCCAAAAATCCCAACTTCGGCTTCCAAGGGTCTTGCGTCCTTACCGCGCGTCCTTATTCTGGTTTTTTTTAATTGTATAGTGGTGATCTGCGTATGACGTATCTCCGCTGGGCCTCCCAGGAGCCCACGAAAGTGCCGAGAGTTGCGCAGATCGCAGCCACCCAGGGCACCGCGAGCCATAGTGGTGATCTGCGTATGACGTACCTCCGCTGGGCCTCCCAGGAGCCCACGAAAGTGCCGACAGTTTCGCAGATCGCAGCCCCCCAGGGCACCGCGAGCTATAGTGGCGATCTGCGTATGACGTACCTCCGCTGGGCCTCCCAGGAGGCCACGAAAGTGCCGACAGTTGCGCAGATCGCAGCCCCCCAGGGCACCGCGAGCTATTGTGGTGATCTGCGTATGCGTACCTCCGCTGGGCCTCCCATGAGCCCACGAAAGTGCCAACAGTTTCTCAGATCGCAGCCCCCCAGGGCACCGCGAGCTATAGTGGTGATCTGCGTATGACGTACCTCCGCTGGGCCTCCCAGGAGCCCACGAAAGTGCCGACAGTTGCGCAGATCGCAGCCCCCCCATGGCACCGCGAGCTATAGTGGTGATCTGCGTATGACGTACCTCCGCTGGGCCTCCGGGGTGCCCACGAAAGTGCCGACAGTTGCGCAGATCGCAGCCCCCCCCCCCCAGTGATCGCAACCCCTAGGGAAGGCCACCCACCAGGCAAGACGGCGAGGCAGGAATCAGGAACCGGACGGCAGGAGAGCACAGAAGGCAGAAGCGAGGAGGCGGGAGAAGGAGGGTGGAGACCACACTGCTCTATTCAAAACGAGAACCCAGCACAGGAGGGTTGGTAAATAGTCTGGGGACGATGTTCCTACTATTTCCGACTATTCTCGAGTATGTTTTGACTCTTTTTTCTTTGTTCAAAATCCGCCTGTAGAAGGACATGCCCGACCCAATGCTAATATGTTCTGCATGTTGGCTGAGGCCCCGTCACAGATCAATGCTGCGAGCTCGCGCCGCGCCGCTGCGCCCCCGCTCAGCTGCTCCTCTCCGCCCGCTGGCGCGCGCCTGACAGCCCAGCGTGCAGGGAATGGTCCTGCTGCTGCTGGAGATTGGGCGCCGCCTCGCTGTCTCGACGAAGCCCCTCTTGCTTGGTCGCAGGCCTAGGGGTTGACACCAACACCGATATCGGCGGGGTGCCTCCACCGAGGGGAGAAGATCTCGATCTCGGTGATGGTGGTAATATTCTGGCTTCCAAGGTGGCCGAAATATTACCACCAACGCCGAAATCTAGGATCATCCTCCCCCTGTGGAGGCCACCCCCTGTGTTGGTGTTGGCGCCCATTTACAGGCCTCCAACAGTGCTCCGTACATGCCCAGTGCTCCCGCCATCTCGACCCATGTCTTTCCGGCCCTCTTCTTCCCAGCCAGCGCCCTCTTTGCCAGAGGCAGGAGGGGAGGGAGTGGAGGTCGGAAGCGCTCCCATGTTGGCATCTGCACCGCCAACGTGCTCGGTGCTTGGGCGGTGAGTCTCGCCCAGCTTTATCTAACAGCTGCCCTGTTGCCCGTCCCGGCAGAGAGATACGTCAGAATCGTACTTCGAGGCCTGTGCAAATGGGGAGCGGGAAGAAGTGGATGATGATGATGATCAAGATGAAAGGCACGAGCAGGGTATAGACATTCGTCTCCACACGTTTGGCTTTCCCAGCAGAAAGAAGCTGATGTGCGCGATCGGGACTAGGCGCACGGAGTATGATCGATGCTATTGGCATGCTCTGGAACACACCTGCGCGTGCTATGAGCACCCTAAAGCCGTGAGAAATCACGACCGCCGCCCTCGACACCCGGCTGCCCGCGGCATCTTTCTTCATCCAGGGCGATCTGCGAGAGGCCCCCGGGGGCCCTTAGAAAATTCGCGAAACAGCGCAATTTCCCCACACAGTGCTTGCACTCAGGGGTTCTTACTTGGCTTCTAAGAAACTGGGCCCGTTGGCGGCCACAGCGGCCCCGTTGCCGTCCGTCGCCGCCGCCCCGTTGCAACCCCCCGTTGCATTGCAATCGCATTGAGTTGCAATCGCATTGCCTTGCAATCGCTTTGCGTTGCAATCGCATTGAATTGCATTGCATTGTGTTGCATTGCTTTGCATTGCCCTGCATTGCTTTGCATGGCTTTGCATTGCGTTGCGTTGCTTCGCATCGCATTGCTTTGCATTGCTCTTTACATTTCGTTGGATTGCTGCGCATTGCTTGGCATTGCATGGCATCGCATTGCTTTGCATTGTTGTGCATTGCGCCTAGAGCCTAGATTGCAAGAGCTCAGTGTGTGGGGTCCACGCTGGATAACCTGTTCTTATGTAGCGCAAGCTCCGTGCTGTGACATCCCACGACGTATGGCTGCGAGGACGTGTTCTCTCCCTTGCGCACAGGCAACATGGGCACGCGCGCGAAGTGCCCAGACTCCGGACCTCCAACGTCGTGATCGTTTGATGCCTTCCCTCCCCGTCCTCACGACCCGTTCCAAGGACGTGTTCGCTCGCCCCGAGCAGTTGTTTGATGCCCCCTTGGCCCGAACACGGCACAGGGAAGGCCTACACCGTGCACACATTTTGCCATCGGAGGAATCACGACGCAAGAAGCCTCGACTATGCGGGTGTATCGCGATCGCGAGCAGTTCTTGGTCCGCACGGGGTCGCAGGCGTTTCGTTCGTGCCAGGGCCTCGAGTTCCCACCGAGAACAACGTCAGACCGCCCAGAAAACAAGCCAACTCTGTGGATGCACTTCCGGGCGGCTACTCGGACGCACCCCATATCGAGGAAGGACGGCCCCCTATCGTATTACCCCCCGCGAGCTTGTGGTCGCCATACCCCCCGCCGTCTCGCTCGCAAGCAGTCCCTGATCCGCGCAGAGTCATGACGAGTGCGATCGCAGGGCCTCGGGCCTCGTGAGCGCTGCGGTGGGCTACGCGCTGGGCCGGAGGCCTGCCCCCCCGCCCGCGCTTTCGGGGGTGCGCAGGGGGATGGGGAAGAAGAGGCGAGGGAGGAGGGAAAGTCGAGAAGAATGGGGGTCGAGGGGGGGGGTAATGGGGGAGTGTGGAGGGAGGAAGTGGAGGAGGAGAATGAGGACGAGGACCAGTGCAGACCCGAGACTCACCAACAGTGTTGGAACGAACCCTCCCTCCAAGCTCCCTCTTCATTTGGGCCCTAAAAAGATTGATTTCCATAGAGGAAAGCGCCTCATTTGGGAGACAACCGTTTGAAGACCTTGAAGCGTGCCGAAAGACCATTCTCGGCACCCCAACGCCACGAGTCAACCGGACTGGTGCGTCTTGGCAATCCTGAATCGTGCCGGAACACCGTTCTTGGGACTTCAACACAGCGAATCAACGTAACTCCAAAACACAGTTTCTGGTACGTTGACCATGGGAACCCGTCAGCCTTGACACATGTTTCGAGCGAACGCGCGGCGCTAAGTCGAGAGCCACAGTTTGAAATGGAACCGCCCTCAATCAGTGACACTCTATTAATGTTCTACGCCGAACGCGCACGATGCTAAGGCAGAGGCCACATTCTGAAAGCGGCCCCCCTCAACCCGTGCATCTGGCATTGTCCAACGAATGTGCGCAACGCGAAAGCGAGAGCCACATTTTGAAAGGGGCCCGCCCTCAATCCGTGGAGCTCTTGCAAGTTTTCGGACGAGTGTGCGCGGCGCGAAGGCGAGAGCCACACTTCGATAACGGCCCGCCCTCGAGGCCCTCGGTTCGTGAAGCTCTTGGACGTGTTTTTCACGAGTGTGCGCGGCGCTGAAGCGAGAGCCACATTTTGAGAACGGCCCGCCCTCCACGTGTGGAACTGCTGTCGCTGTTTCAGCTTCAGGTCATCAGTGGTAAGGAAGTCCCAGGCGAACCGACGGCCCGCCCTTCCGACTGGCCTCGGGGCGCGACAGGGAGGAGTCTCTTATAAGGGAAAGGATGGAGGAGGAGGGGGATGGAGGGAGATGAAGGGGAGGATAGGGGAGGGGGACGATGGGGGAGAAGGGAGAAAGAGGAGGGGGGGAAAAGAAGGAGGAGGGGAAGGACGAGGAGATGGTTCCATGGGGGGTGAGGAGGAGGAGGAGGAGGAGGAGGAGGAGGAGGAGGAGGAGGAGGAGGAGGAGAAGGGAAGATGAGCAGGCCGATGGGGAGAGAGGCTAGACTGAGGCAGAGGGGCAGGCTGAGGAGGAGGGAGTGGAGGAGGAGGAGGTGGAGGAGGGAGGAGGAGGAGGAGGAGGAGGAGGAGAAGGACGAGGAGGAGGAGGATGATGAGGAGGAGCAGGAGGAGGAGGAGGAGGAGGAGGAGGAGGAGGAGGAGGAGGAGAGGAGGTTGATCGTGGACGCGCGGCCGAGGAGGACGACAGCGACCACGACAGCCACGACAGCCACGACGCCCGACGACGCCCGACGACGACGACGACGACGACGACGACGACGACGACGACGACGACGACTGGGACGATGACGACTGGGACGAAGACGACGACCAAGATGACGACGACGACGACGACAACGACGACGACGACAAGCACGAGGACGAGGACGAGGTTCCCCCCTCGAAGGGTTTGCGACGACGACGACGCGACGGGCTCCCCTTCGGCGCGGCGAGGGTGGCGGCCGAGCCTCGAGAGGATGCGGCGACTGCTGCGGCGACGCGGCGGAGGCGGCGACTGCGACATTGGCGGCGGCGACAATGCCGACGACGCCGGAGGGTTATGTTCGCTCAAAACGGGCTCCCCAGACCCCTCCCGGACATCCTGACCATCGAGGGAGGACAAATACGTCGATCCCCACAATTGGCGGTTGCTAAGAGGTCCTGCTCGTTTAGTCTGCAGGCCTGTCGTACTCGACTCCTCCTCTAGGTGCTTTTACTGGGGGGTCCCATGCGTAGTCATGGTAGGAGGGGCTCTGCCGCCCCCTAGGGCACTTTCTGGAACTGCGCCTGGCTGTGGCCACTGAGGGGGGCCAGAGTGTGCAACGGGCGAGACTCTCCCTTCCCTCGCTGGTCGGTGGAACACCCTAAGCCTGGAGTAGCCCCACTTCGAAGAAGTTGGCGCTCTTGTGGTGCCGCGTCTTGTTGGTACCGCAGCGGTCATGCGCTTTATTTGAGCAGTAGCAGCCCCAGCGGCACGCCTGTGAAGAAGGTGCTCGTGAGAACGGCGCCGGGGGAAAACGCGACGGCGGCGGCGGCGACGGCGGCGACGGCACGGCGGCGGCGGCGGCGGCGGCGGTGCGGCGCGCCCAGGGCGTCGGCCGAGCCTCGAAGAGGCCGCGGCGGCGGTGGCCGGATCTCCCGGCTCTGGCCCAGAAGACAGCCGCCCCCCGGCCCGCGGGCACGCCGCCGTCGCCGTTGCCGCCGCAGCCTCAGGCTAGGCAGCCTGCGCGGGAACACGAACGAGTCGAGCTCGCCAGAAGTCGGGTTTGCCCACGCTTCTTGACGGGCCCGTCCGCAAGTTTGACGGTTTCATTTTCATCGGATCTTCGCTGCGGGAGCTCTCGTCAGACTTCAGACGGGGTCTCGTCATGTTCCGGATGGCCCCGTCAGGCCAGCCTGAGTCCCTCAAACCTGGGTCTCACGTCTCCCCGACCAGCTTCTCGGGATGAGCCATCCAGTCGGCCCAGATTGGTAGGTCGACCCTGCCAAGTCAAGGGCACCCTCGTGTCCTGTGCCTCGCGACCCATGCCTCCTGCATTCCTGTGGCAGTGTGGCCCTCGGAAATCAGGAGCGACAAAAGGACGTACACGTACATGAATCCACGCTGGTTTCGAGAGTACGCATTGCGCAAATGTTCGTATAACGCGGCCGGTCTCGCGGATCGAGGGGCCGTGTTCATGTACATAGCTGGGCGCGTACGTCCTTTGTGGGCTCCCTGGGGAAAGGGTCTTGTCCTCTCGCGGGTCCTGTCCAGTCGAGTCCGACTGCACCGCGACGCCGGACGCCTCTGTGTGGTCATCGCCGGCGTCCCCGGGGCGACGGGCGCTCCGACGACCCGGTCTCCTGTCGGGGGTCGCGGGCCCCTGGAGCTCGCGGCCTCTTTCCCGCGGGGCCGATGGCCCACCCCGCGTTGTGTCAGGAGAGGAAGAAACACACAGACACAATGAATCGTCGATTCCCCCGAAAATATGGGAGAAGATGGGAAGTGGGGGGGAAGGCAAGAACCCTGAAAATATAGGAAAATAGGGGGGATCCTGTGATTTGTGTCTATTTCTATTTGTGTGTCCCTGGGCTCCTTTATTGTCGTGGACGGCTGCAGGGCCCAGGGAGCGGCCTCCAGGCGCCGCACAGGGGCGCACGCGTCAAGGGGGTCAGCGCTCACGGGGGTCGGCCACTCCCCTCCGGTCCCCTCCTCCTGACCACCTGAGAGCCACGCGGAGCCGCTGATGCGGGTCAGCGAGCTTCCGATCGAACGCCGAGAAACGGCGGGCGCTCCTCCTCCCTCCAAAGGAAAAAAGTTGTTCGACCACCACCTGCGGGCCACCTCTGGCGAGCAGGGTTGAGTCGGGCGTGTCCCTCTCTCTACAGGAGGAAAATTCAAGAATAGTAGAACAAGTCCGGGGCCAGAGAGAGGAGATGCCTCGAGCGTAGGCGCCGCGAAGCAGGGAAGGGGCACCGCGTCCGCGGGGCCCTCCCCGGCGCCTCGCGACGGCTGCTGTGGTGCCGACGTCCTGTGCTTCCCGTCAGCGTGCCTGTTTTCGCCGAAGGCCTCGCGACCTCTGCCGTCCGTCGACTCGCGCTGGAGCGGCCGCGAACGGCTCCAGCTTTCCTGGGAGATCTCTGGATCTACCTGGATTTATCTCGATGGACCTGGATTTCACTGGATTTGCCTGCATTTGCCTGGATGTATCTGGCTCGATCCCCACACGTCGATTGGTGAAAAGTCGACAAGCCCTTGGGGATGTCTTCGAGTCGCCAGAACTGGCGGCGTGCCCCGGGGGTCAGCGCCAGGGAGGCGGCCTTCTTAGGAGGCGGGGCAGCTTTCACGCGGGCAGCGGGCGTCTTCGATGCCACCCCCTGGCTTCCTCGTCCTGCCCCCTCCTCATCCTGCCTCCTTCTCAGCGCCACTCTTTCCCTCTCACTCCTACTTTCACCTCCCCATCCTCCTCCCCCTCCCCCTCCCCCTCCCACTCCTCCTTCTCCCCCTCCTCCTCCCCTCCTCCTCCTCTCCCTCCGCCCCTCCTCCTCGTCCTCCTCCTCCCTCCTCCTCCTCCTCCTCTCTCCTCTCTCCTCCTCCTCCTCCTCCTCCTACGCCTCCTCCTCCTCCTCCTCCCCCTCCCAGAGAAAGCTCTCAGGACGTCCCAGGGGGACGGCCGCGGCGCCCGATGCCCGCGGCATCCTCCGGAGCCGCCGGATCCCATGGATCCCCGATGTATCAGCGGCGACGATAGGGGGGGATAGCCCAGGGGCGGGCAGTACACGCATTCGCCCGGGAGCCTCTTCGAAGACACAGATCATCCGCGCACCTGAATGCACGTATTGCTCTCCCCTGGGCTGTTCGCCCCTGTCGTCGCCTCTGAAGTTGCCCCTGTCCGGTGTTGTCCCTGTCCTGGCTTCCTCTCTGCCGTTTCCCTTGCGATCCAAGGCTCGACCTCTTGCGCCCAGGGCCCGGAGGCGCCCGCTGCGCGCAGGGGGGGGGCGGCGGGCTCCTCGTCGTCCTCGGTCTCCTCGCGTTGGTCGCCCCTGCCCCCCCCCGCCACGACCACTGGCTGCTGCCGCTTCTGATGGGCTTGTTTTCCACCACCACCACCACCTCCTCCTCCTCCTCCTCCTCCTCCTCCTCCTCCCTTCCTCTCCTCCTCCTCCTCCTCCTCCTCCTCCTCCTCCTCCTCCTCCTCCTCCTCCTCCTCCACCTCCTTCCCCTCTCCAACTCAGCTTCCGCCCTCCCCGACCCCTCATCTCTGGCACCGCTGTCTGGCGCGTTCCAGGCAGCGCCACTCGTCTTCGAGGGCTCGAGGAGCTGATAAATCTTTTCCTCGGCAGGAGGGCGGCGGCGTTCGAAGGCGGCCACGACGCCGTGCACCCAGCGTGGCGTCGGGATGACCCGCAGAGCCGCGGGCCGGCCTGCGCCTACCCCGAGGCGCGAGGCCGGGGCAGCTCCCGCAGGCTCCACTCCGTGGAGAGGCGCGCCCTCGCGGGAAAAGCGCTCCCCATAGCCCGCCCGCCCTCTTGCCGCTGCCGCGGCCGCACCTCGGAGTAAAACGACGCGAAGATCGGGACAAAATCGGATCGGGATAATTCGAAATCTCTGCGAATCGGCGGGCTTGGAGGATGTATTGGGCGCCGCGGCCGCTCCAGAGCGTTCCGGAACGCTCTGAGAGCGCTCTGGCTCTGGAGCGATTTATCCCGATCCTAGCCCTGTTTTAGGGCGGGCGGGCTGGGTCGGACCCCGGCGGGCGGGGGTCCATGGACGGGGGGCGCGGTGAGAGCGGCGGCCCTCTCAGAGGGCACCCCGCCGCTCGGAGGCCATCTGGCCCCCCGAGAAGCAGTGTCGGTCGCCTCTCGGAGGGGCCCGGCAGCCCCCCCGTCGTTCTCTCAGGAGGGCCGCCTCCTCGCCTTGCCCCTCTCGTGTGCGCCTCCGAGTGCGCCCTCCACTCGGGATGGATATCCACGGCACGAGCGTCTTCTCTCGCCGTGTGCGTGTTACTCGTTTTCTCCCCAACCATCCTGTGGTGTTGGGTCCTCGCGTCGAGGAGACAGTCCCCGCGTCCTCCCTTCCTTCTTCCTTTGTTCTTCTGCGCATGTCCATGCCAGCACACCCCGCTCTCGTTCCGTGGCCCCATGGGGAACTCCACCAAAGGCCTCAGTAGTTGTGTTCGCATAATTACCTTCTTCACACCATTCCGGCGGACGCCTCACACGCTTTTGTGGCCTCACAGGGGACTTCACCAGAGGCCCCAGTGGCTGCGCTCGCATACCTTCTCCAAACCATATCGGCGAACACTTCACACGTTTTGTGGCCCCATAAGGGGCTCCACCGAAGGCTCCAGTGGCTGCGTTCGCATACCTTCTACATAGAATGTCGGCGCACGCCTCACAAGCTTCTTGGCCTCACAAGGGAACTCCACCGAAGGCCCCAGTGGTTGCTTTCGCATACCTTCTCCACCATTTTGTCGGCGCACCCTCACACGTTTTGTGGCCTCACATGAGGGATCCACCGAATGCCCCAGAGGCTGCGTTCACATACCTTCTCCACTATGTGGCTGCGTTCGCACGCCTTCTCCACACGGGTTCGGCGCACGCCTCACACGCTTCGTGGCCCCATAAGGCTCTGGCTCCACCGAAGGCCCCAGTGGCCCATTCCAGGTCGAGCGATCGAACGACTGTCGACGTCGTCAGAGGTGCCTTCGGGGACCAGGTCCGACGATGGCGTTTAGAAGGGGCATCGACGCTGTGCAGGCCGCCATCCTCGCTGATGCGGCTGCTCGTGCGGCGCATTGCGCTGGCGGGGATCCTCGGCTCTCCCCGGGCGCTGTCACGCGTGCGGTGGCCGCGGCGGCTCCGGCCGATGCGCGCCCCGCCTCCCGCGCCCGCCGCGGCGGTTGCTCTTGGGGCTGGGAGCCGGGCGACGATGACGGCAGGAGGTCCACGACGGAGGCGCAGCGCGAGCGGCACAGCTCTTGGCGCGCCCGCCTTGCTGGACTGCGGGCCTTGCACGACGGCGACGTCGAGTCCTCCTCCTGCTCCTGCTCCTCCTCCTCTTCCTCCTCCTCCTCCTCCTCCTCCTCCCCTTCCTGCTCCTCCTCCTCCTCCTCCTCCTCCTGCTCCTCCCGCCTTGGCGGGGCGCGGGGAGGCGGCGGCAGACTCGGCTGGGGGGCGCGTTGCCGGCGGTCGAGCCCATGGCGCTCGAGGTGCCCGAAGCTGCTGCCTCGGACGAAGCTCGGCGGCCTCAGCGACTCCTGGGCCGACGCCCGCGGAGGGGCGGCGTCGGGGTGCGAGGCAGCAGCGGCGGCGGCTGGCTGCGGCAGCGCCCACGGCGGAGGCGGCGGCGCAGCTGGATACGGCGCCCGCGGGGGCGGCGCCTGCGACCCGCGGCGCGGCGGCCTCGAGCTACGAGCAGGCATTCGACCAGGCGGGCGGCCTCCTGCGCAGGGCGTCGAGCGGCGGCGTGCGCCGGAGTCCGTGGAACGGCCCTCGGTGGCCGGCGCCGCTGCGGTGAGTGCGCCTTCGGGGCCAGTGCCGCCCGCACCACCCCGACCCTTGGGGTGAGAGCTCTTGGGGGGGCGTAAAACGACGCGAAGATCGGGACAAAATCGGATCGGGATCACTCGAAATCTCTGAGAATCGGCGGGCTTGGAGGATGTATTGGGCGCCGCGGCCGCTCCAGAGCGTTCCGGAACGCTCTGAGAGCGCTCCGGAACGCTCTGGAGCGATGTATCCCGATCCTAGCCCTGTTTTAGGGCGG